CAACAGAGTATCATCACTGGTGATATAAGAGGGATGTAGTTTGGCAAGTCACATCTGAACCTATTTGCTTTTCAGGAAGTGAGGTCAGTTTCAAATCCCCAAATCATATTGTTTCACTTCCAAAATGGGAAAGTTGTCTTTCTTGCGGGGCGCTGACAAATGTGCAGCTCCCCACTGCAACTAATGGCACTTTGCAGAAAGCACCATGAGGTACAGAAACCCCTCCCTCCCCACTTCTCTCCCCCTGACCTAACAAATGTTCACTGTTGGCCTGGGGGCTAGGGGCAGGTTTCACTTTGGATCTGATCCAGGAGGAGCTGTTTGTCTGCAGCCTCCCTACCCTAGGTCTAGCCCCCTCCCAGCTCTGGCGCTGTTTGCAGGATGAGAGGGGAGAATGGAGGGGGAGGGAGCTTGGGCTGGGTTTGCCCAACCTGTGCTGCAGCAGGGGTGGGTGGACTGGAGTAATACCCTGCCATCACCAGTGCAAGGAGTATTTGACCGGTGGAGGGGGGGAAGAAGGGGAGGGGGGGAGGGGAGGGCTGCTGCCCTCACCTCCAGCTGCCAGCTGCTCCTGTGTCAGGCTGTGGCATTTGCCCTGGAGGGGAGATGGTGTGGAGGGCAGTGCAGGTGGCCTGAGGGGAGCAGCAGCAGCTGGACCATGTCAGTGAGATAGGGCACCTCCCACCCCCATGGGTAGCAGTTGGAAGAGGTGAGGGCAGTGTATGTCCCCCCCCACCCCTAACCTGGTACTCCTTGCACTGCTGATGGCATGGCATTATTCCATGGTGGTGCAGCTGGTGTGGTCCCAGTGGCAGTGGTGGCAGCAGCAGCAGCAGCGAGTCTTGCTGCCCCACTCAGCCCTCCTGTGCCAGGTCCTGCCCACTGGGCTATGGAAGCAGTTCCTGCCCAATGCTGGTCTGGCAAAACTACAGCCCCATGCCCTGCCGTGGGTGCACAAATCTGGAGGAGTACATGCCCCCTCCATTCCCCCAATGCAAAGCCTATCTTGTCGCCTATGGTTGGACACCCCACCTGCTCTACACACCCACCCTCTTCTCCACACACTGGGGGACTGGAGCGTGGGGGTGGGGGGCAGCAGGTCAGGAGTGAAGGGCAGGAGCAGGGCTGGGACGGTGGGGTGGGGTGGGGGCAGGGGTTGGGATGCTGGGGGTCAGGAGTGAGGGGCAATGGCATATCATTGCTACTCAGTGCCACAAAGCAGTAGGGTAGACAGCTGCAGCTGAACTCACATTGGTGAGCAAAGGGAGCAAGAGGAACTCTAATTTTCTATGATAAAAAAACCAAAATCAAATGCCAAAATATTATAGGTATTTAGTATTTATTTTCTTATAATAATTGATGCACTGGTAGGTTTCCAAATTGCTTTAAAACTGTAAATAGATCAATAAAACATTGTGTTCAATTGATACATATATATATAGTGGTGTTTTATTTTAATTGTGGAAAAACGTGGATCTGCGGGGTTAGGGGGTGTTAATCAGAGTATTTTGGATTTTTAAACAGAAAACCAGGATCCCTGCTTATAAGTAACTAATATTTACACAACACTAATGATCCACACGAGATATGCTTGTAAGAATAGAATTGTATTGATGGTACCATAGTAATTACGAAGGTAAAATGAAACGGCCACAAAATAGAGCAACCCAAAATCTCTAAACACTCTCTCTCTCTCTCTCTCTCTCTCTCTCTCTGTAGATGAAAGAGACCCACAAAGCCACATACCATTCTGTGAATGCGTATATCCTATTTATTCCTATAAAAACAGAGAAAAAAGTCACAACTGAGAATATGGATTCTTCTTACTTTGCATGTTATACAAGAGGAGTCATTCTGCACTCCTGAATGTCTGGCTTACCTGCTTGCATTGTGGAAATGTCTCTGCTTTGCTGGTCTCTGTACAGCCTCTGCACTCTGATTGTCAAGTCAAATAATTATGTTGGGGCTGAAAGTCAAGCTCCACCCTCTTGGTGTCCAGTTTCCTCCTGTAACTTTCCTTGCAGTCCTGCACTCAGACCTGCTGTTTGATTCCTTTAAAGCTGAGTGACAGGGTTTTAGTATGTGGGAGCAAACCCCTTTTAATTTTTGTCATCTTGAACTAAACTGTCATGGCAGAAGTGGGATCATGTTTTTTCTCATATCCTGTCTTTATCGGAGTTCTGCACAGGTGTTTGCTCTAGCTGGTACATAGCAGTGGGGCACCTCTCCCAACTATACCATTGCTCCAATAAAAGATATTACCCACAAAAATCCTTCTCACCTAACTGATGTTCATTTTAAGGTGTTACAGACAGACTGTTGGAAGGTATGAGAAAATCTGCTATGCGTAATATGTTCTATAAATGTGCCAGCACAAAGGGACAGGTATGGTCACCTGATGAACTGTGCGAGGGAAACACAAAGAATACTCACTTCCCTGCCTTATATTTCCCACTCTAACAGGAAGCTAGGAGGCTTCTGTTATTTTAAAGAGAAAACTATTGCTGACTAAGCTGGATAAGGGAGGACTGGCAGCTTGGAAGCAAGCCAGCTGCTAATGAACTTGTTGCATGAAAAGAATACATAATGCTAGATCCAGCTAGAGGTCCTGGGAAGGTAACATGCAGGGAGGGGAGACAAAGCAGCAAACTGCACTAAGGCAGACAGGCAGACAGGAGCAAAGGGCTGCAGGCTGCTGAGCTAAGTGCTCCTAGGGTGGAGCAGGATGGTCATCAAGGACAGGAGGGGAACACCTGGGAGTGGCTATAGAGTTATGTGACTGGATGGGCAGGGTTTGGGAGGGATGTAAAGCCAGGGCCTGAGAGCAGGCAGTCAGTCTGACCCTTCAAGAAAAAGGGATAAGAACTCCTGAGTAGAAAGGATGAAGGGGACTGCCTGGTTGACTCGAGATGCTCTGAGCTCCACAACCAAGATGTCTACAGCTTGCTGGGAAGTGGTACCCAGTATAGGGATGGAGCTTGGAGGTCCCTCTGCAGAGCTTCTGTTATGATGAAACCCAGTGCGGGGAGTTCTGTTACTGCCAGAGGACTTTCTGATTGTGTTGTGGTTTAAACGAGTGGTTTGGGTTTGGGACTATCAGTGGATGGCAGAGGTCCCAATAGTGCCGTAGGGCATGTAGGTATCTTGAGCCTGCCAGGGGCTAGGAGCCCAGAACACAAAGTGGGCTTTGGGCACAAAAGAAGGCTCACTGCCCAGAACAGGGCAGAGACAGGGCCAGGGACCCAGGCAGGCAGATCCAGAGTGGACTCTGACTACAGAAGGGCAGAGACCAGGGCCAGAAGGCCCAAAGACACTTATGACTAAGGGCTGAGGCAGAGAGAGCCAAATCCAAGTCAGTGGGCCAGGACTGGAGGTTTGCAGCCAGAGAAAAGGGGAAGAGGCTGAAAGGACCAAGGCCCTGACAAGAGAGTGTCTGTGCAGTGACATCTGCAAGATATGGACATGGTGTAAGGGCAGGTTGGAGCCATGTAATAAGCCTTTAAGGTCCATTGAGTAATGAGACCAAAGCTCAGGATTGGATGAGATCTCACTCAAGGATCCAAAGGGCAGCCTCTATTTTTTAAGTGTTTATTTACATCAAGGCTGGTGAAGAAAAGGGGCAAATGTTTAAAAGACCAAAGAGATAATAGGAGCAGGGTAACCACCAGGGGGCATCGTGGCCACCCCAGGAGTTCTTCCTTGTTACACCCCCAACATTTGCAATGCCTCCCAGACCAACCTCTCTCTTACAGTTGCTCAAACTGGGACTACTTGTGTTTCTATACAGCAGCATCTTCTGATACTTACTAGTTTTCAGGGTAGCTAGAGTGGAAAAGGAGGCACATACAGAAGAAAAGAGTTTGTAACCAAACTGCTGTTGGCTTAAGATGTAGGCTTATAGTATCTGGTCCTATTAAAGTAAGGTCCTTTCTCTAAATCTGAGCAAACTTATGGAAAATTTGGACTGATTAAAATCAGGAAGGCTGATTAACCAATGAAGTTTGGGATAGGGCTCCACATGGCTGCAGAAACAGATATCACAAATAATAGTGAACTGCAAAGGAGTTAACACAGGGGTGGGCAAAATGCGGCCCATGGGCCGGATGCAGCCAGCCTATCTGGTCCGAGGCCCCTAAAAATTTAGAAAATTAATATTTATCTGACCCTGGCTGCCTGTCATGCAGCCCTTGATGGCTTGCCAACACTCAGTAAGTGGCCCTCCACCCGAAATAATTGCCCGCCCCTGAGTTAACATCTGTTTTTTACCCTTTTTTGCTACCTAATCTCAGATGGGGAGAGCCTGAAGATGATCTAATTTTTGTTACTGCCGTTTGTTTGTGGGGGTTTTTTTGTTTTTGTATGTTTGTTTTGTTTTGTTTTAATTTGAAAATATAAGGACCATCAAGCTTGGTCTTTCCTATTGGCTTGTCTTGGCCATCACATTAGTCATGGGCTTTCATACATCTAGTGCTAATACTGAGCCTGTAGCAAATTCATCCTGTATGCATTTGTGAAGCCCCCTCTACACATGCAGATAAAGATGCAATTGGATCTGGTGTGCGGTCTATGCAGTCTTGCCATGCCACACGTGCGTGGCAGGAGGCACGATTGTGGTGTTGTACATTGGATCTAGTCACGCTCTATTGCTGGTGTAGTGGGAGCCTGATCCTGGGCTCCCAATGCATCAGCAAGAAGCAGACTCCTACAGCTGGAGCCCATACATAGCTGGGACTTAGAGTTCCCATACTCCTGGGGCTTTGGATCCCAGCTACATCTCACCTGCATGGGCCTGTAACAGGGAACCCTAGCCCTGTTCCTAGAAAGCAGGCCGGTTCCTTTAAGACCAGAACTTTCTGGGCACGGCCTCCTGGCAGGGTAGGGATTAAAAGCTGAGCCTTGCTGGCTAGTCAGATGACCGGAAGAGGGCAGGCCAGAACTATAAAAACCCTGGGCTTGGCGGCAGTTCTTGGGCAGCAGCCAGGGGGAAGGAGTTTGTGCAAAAGAGCTCCATGGAGATGCTTGGCTGCCTGTCCAGTTACTATAGGGAGAACTCCTGGTGACCCCCAGAGAAGCTGTGGCAGCCCCACAAGGAGGATCCTAATAGACAGTGGGAAGCAGGAGCATGGAGTCATTAAAAAACGTAAGCTGGCATACTGCCTTCTTTAATTTTTTTTTTTAATGGTTATAGCCCATGGACTTACTTTTGTATTTTGACTGATAAACCAGTGGTTTGTGGTTGAGGCTGTAGGGGAGGAGGAGGCCTCATTAGCACCTTGGGTGCAGTCATAAAAGGCCAAAGGGCCTAGTACACTAGTGGGTGCAGCTGTACAGGGCTAGTAGCACAGATCTGGCTGCAGGACTTTGAAGCCAAGTCCCAGTGGGGGAATCTTGGCTAGTAGCCTGAGCTATAAGAAAGGGCCAAGCCTAAGGAGGCAGAAGACCCAACAGCTTGGCATCCAGGGGCCGCAGGGTGAAAGGGGGCCAAAATGCCTGGCTCCATAGTGAACGCAAAAGCAGGGCCCCAGGCCCAGAGAGGATTAAGGAGCTAGAGCCTCCGAGTCAAACCCTACCTGGTGGGTTTAGATTGGTAGGCAGAGCTAGAGAAAGACTGGGGGAGGCAAGGCCCGGGGTGGCTGAGAACCCCAACATAGAAGTACAATAGGTAGTCTCCTGCTTGTAAGAACATCTAAATAATATTTTACATGAAGACGTAGCAGACAAGTAAAGGTGGGATACAAGATGAAAGACAGAAATGAACCATTAAGGGACTTCAAGGGTGCCCCTCAAAGGCCACTAAAATGCCACTGGGGAGGGCAACCTGTTACAGGGCCCAAGTGTTTCATGCACCCCTGAGCCTTGGGGTCATGGTAGCTGTGGTCCCCAGGGCTCAGGGGTTTCACACTGGGCACAGTGCACATCTATGGCTAGAAGCCCTACCAGTCCTGCTCCATAGCAGCCAGCTATGGAATTAGTACATATTTTTGAGGTCTAATGTTGTGGCTGGTGTCGTGAATCAGAGCAGCAGCCGGCAGCCGCCTGACTCACACCGGAGTGTTTAGATTTAAAGTTCGGCAGGCGGGTAGTGATGGATGGGGTGGAATTAACCAGGCACAGACGCGTGTAGGTTACAGGAGTTTGTTTACTTACGTCGCCTAGATAGTGATGGACGACGCAGGTGAGCCTTCGTTCCGTTACAGCTTTAGTTACAGAGTCAAATATGCGCATATAACTTCGGTTACAGAGTCGAGGACACGCACGCAGTTCAGTTACGGCGAGATAATGACGGACGTGGCGCCGAAAACGGACGGTCGCGCTTGCAAGACTTTTTACGTCAATATTTTACGCTGACGGGGCGATTGATTAGGAATTGATCAGTTTCCCAATTTTCTGGTGACAAGCACAGGTGTTTCCTGTGAAATCCCCAGAGCTCTCCGCCTTGGGCGGAAACCGTTAAACTATTTATAGGCAGAGGTGTTTTACAGGAATATCCAATAGTGAACCGTTATATGGAATCTTTAATTTTTTGGCAGGTGGCATCTCTTTGTCTCCTCAAGTTACAAGGTAGTGGGTTAGGTTTTCCTACCTGTTACGTGTGTGCTACGTGTGAGGAGCTTACGTTTATCTTTGACCAATTATATATAGTTTCCCCCAGCATTTTATTTCAGCTGACCAATTATCTGTAGTACACCACCAGCGTTTTGTTTCAAGGAATTTCTTGGCAGGGAAGTCTTTTAACCCTTAATAGTCAAATGAAGATGATTTGAATGGTATCTCTTGCTCAGTGGCATGGGCACAAGTTAATTGGGTTGTGACATGCCCCCTTGCCCATGGCACAGCAAGTGATCACTTTCTCTTAAATTATAGTTCGTTCTCGTCATCATATTCGCCGTCATTGGGTTTTTCTTCTGGCAAGCGGGTATATACAAAAGCAAAAAGCGTGGTTAACTTTGTTTTGAGATACTGTAAAATCCAACAACTAAAACACACAAATATAGCAATTGGTAACAAAAGCGTAATGAAGGGTATTAACAAGTTGAGGAACCATGATGATGTGTCCCGCTCAAACCAACGGAAGGGGTCTGATAATCAACCTTGGCCTATATCCAAGAGTCGGTTGACGTTTTCCACAATTTTTCCATTTCTTTACTTAAGACTTTCGAAACGCATCAACCTTGTCATGCATCACTACTTGCTTCTCCTCTCAACGATTTGACACTAAACATTT